TCCCCTTGTATACGTTCCAAAAACGCAGGGGACTCAATTCCAACCTTTGTTGGTGATGGTCTAATAATTAACTTGCCTTGATAACAAGAAGTGCAAGAAAATTCATTATTTAAAAGAATCTTTAAATTCTTTAATGGATGCCCATTTGATTTTTCTATAATTCGTCTCATCATAATTGATCCAGGGTGTCCCAATCGATCATGCCAAAGTACAAAAGTATTGAAATCGGTAACCTTTTGGTTTACAATAGAATGTGCCTCAATTGCACTAACTCTTGTCCAATACAGGCCACAAGACAAAGATGGGAACTTCTCAATAGCCCTTTTCTGGCCAGAGACATTTTTGGTAATGATGAGATATTCAAGATTATTCTCATCTATTGTCTCAATATGATATCTATTTGACGGATATCTTTAAAACTCAACAAGTTCCTCTTGGACTTGGAGGAGAACATTGCATTCTCTATGATAAGTATTGTTCCCTTAGGCGGAGTTATAGTAGCTCTTTCAGAGCCTTCAATTAATTTACTACTACCAGAAATTGTAGTAACATCTGCCTTACACATACTTAAATGAGAGAAATATTTCTTCTCTTTGAATATTGTATGTGTTGTACATGAATCAACTAAACAAATATTTGATCCAAGTTTGTTTTGTGAGGTATCCATATTTGCTTCCAATTGTTTGACATACAAAAGAAATATACGAATAATATTAGTATTTTCAGATATAAGGGAAAGAAATAAAGTTAAATTGTTGATTCAATAATGACTCTAATGCAATTTCGGGCAAACTCTCGTTATGATTCAAACCATTATGTAGCTAAAAATACAATCGTACTTTATTTACACTTATCACTTTCTTAAAAATTTCCATCATGCTAGTAATAGAAAAGTGGTATTTTCACTTTCAAAGTTAGCTCAAATTCAAATGAACAGTAAAAGAGCAAGACAATCAATGATTAACTTGGTGTAGTAATAAAGAAATGAATTTATATTCCATTCAAATCCTATAATCAGTAGTTGGACACTAATAACGTGATAACGCAATTCACTTGCAAATATGCTCGCATTAATTTGACGTCATTCTCTAATTACGTGAGATCTTTCAAAGTTAATCCTTTTGTTTTCAATTCAAGTAACTGAATATTCTTTTCACATCACAACCTTAATTTAGTAAAGAATATGTTAATCCTTGAGAGAAAAAAAAAACTAAGCAAACTGAAACATTGTTTAAAACGAATACTATAACTAATCCTATAAAATAAATAGTACTAATGATTACTACTCATGTAAAGAACTGTGATTACATGATGTTTATTAGCTACTACGAATATGTAAAAATAAAAATCAAACTACTCAATCATCTTTAACCACGGATTCATCACCGATCAAGTGGTCTATTTTTCCATCAGGGCGCTCAAAGAAGTCTGCCACATCCAAGTGGGTGATGTCAAAATCATTGTCAGAGACAAAATTGACTTCAGGACCTTTATTCTTTAGAGATGCTTGATAAAGCTCAACCAAATGTCTTGGTACACGACAAATATTTGCCCAATGCCCTTTTCCACCGCAACGATAGCATTCAGTTTCTGAACCATTTGCTTTTGGGTTCTCATCTTTCCCTTTCCACTTTTGGTAGTTATTTCTCTTTGGGGGATGATTAACACCAGGAAAATTTCTTCCTTGTCTACGGCTACGACCATGACCACGATCACGACTACGAATAGAGTCACGGCCTTTTCCACGCTTAGCATAATGGGAATACACCTCATCCATTTCAGGCAATGGTGTAGACCCAGTGGGTCGCTTTTCGTGATTTCTCATGAACAAGTCATTGTTTCGCTCAGCCACAAGGAGAAGAGAAATCAGCTCAGAGTACTTCTTGAAACCTTTCTCTCTGTACTGCTGTTGCAAGACCATATTGGAGGCATGAAACGTTGTGAATGTTTTTTCAAGCATATCATAATCAGTGATAGTGTCTCCATAGAGTTTCAATTTAGAAGTAATTCTGAACATCGCAGAATTATATTCAAAAACAGACTTAAAGTCTTGGAGCCTCAGATGAGCCCAATCATATCGTGCTTGTGGAAGAGTGACCAACTTTAAGTTGTCATATCTTTCTTTTAAGCCATTCCACAAAATAAGTGGATCTTTGACTGTGAGATATTCAATTTTCAACCCTTCATCAAGGTGATGGCGCAAGAAAATCAAGGCCTTAGCACAGTCTTGGGTGGATGCTTTATTTCTGTCTTTAATGGCGTCTCCAAGACCCATGACATCTAAATGGATTTCAACATCCAACACCCATGTCATATAGTTCTTGCCCGAAATTTCAAGGGCAACAAACTTTCTTTTCATAATGTCAGTCATAATTAAAAAGAGGAGAAAAATTACCTAAATCTTCTCAAAGAGCTTCTTGAGACGGTAGAATCTCGTGCTGATAACGTGTTATAAAACAATAAAAGTAGAAGAACAATATTGCAGAGAAAGGGAGAGAAGGAATTCTTATTGAATTTTGGGATGAATTACAATGGAATAGAACCCTTTATTTATAGAGAGAGGTTGACTTAGCCACAAGTAATAAACCCTAGAATCTCTCTAAATATGGACATTCACCATAAATAGAATTCTATTTATAACAATATTATTTTAGAAAACTTCCGAGCTTCGTAGAAAGGTCGAAACTAAGCTACATATGACTTCAATAGAAAGATATTATTATAGGTAAGGGAACGTGGAAAAAAGACTTTACAATAGCTTTATATCTATCAACCTAATACACGAAAGTTGTCAAACATCTAGCCTGTGTAGTGTATGGCACGCTAGCTTAGTCTATACAGGGACTACAGTGGTGTGATCGGAGACTGAAGGCTGTACCTTCTTCCCTCCAACTCAGAATATATCTTAAGACTAAATTACGATATATTTCACGTTGAAAGTGAGGCTATGTCCCTTAACCATTCACCCCACAATTCCGCATTTCCTAATGTATTCGTTTGAGAAATTTACATGGCGAATCCATAAGCTTCGTATCTCAGGGCTCCCAATCTCAAGCCATGGCTTGGCTGGTCCGCTGAAATGTACAACAGCTACGTCTTCCAGTGTAGACTCTGCCACATTCATAATAGATCGATAACCTAAACCAGCAATGTGCCATGAAGGATCAATCCGATGCACATGACCCTCAAAAGCTATCAGGGAAGGTGGAAGCGCTCCAGGATTCCACAATTCAAAACCAGAGTTGAGGCTCTACAAAATAGTATTAAGATGTCAAAGTCATGACATCGTCAAAACACACTGTTAAAGCAACTTCTTAAACGAAATGAGAACAGATAAAACCGCTAGATTGCCATTAGATTGAGTGTTCGACATGTTTCATGAACAAAGAGCTAACCCCTCATTGATAAGTGTTTTCGATAGCATGAAAAACCTGTCTGAAGATATATAAGCTAGCAATCGTGTAATTTCACATGATAATCAACACAAAATGCTAAACTTTCAAACATTCTACAGCAGCAGCTATGCATAATGCACATCCTAAGTATTCGTGAGACCCTTATAATAGGCATTTAGAACTAATAATAACAAGGCAAGTTATAATATTTTGATTCGACTTATTCAGGTTGATCTATACTTACAAGCTTAAGCCAGTGATGGTAAGTCGCAGTGATGTTAGTCTTCCTCCAAGCTTGAAGATCAAAGACATTCATTCCATAAAGCCACCCACAACGATCATAATCCAGGTTAGATGATATGACAGGACTCGTAAAATTGAAGTAATCCTTGTATTTTCTTCCAGGGCAACAGCCATCTCCACAGCCCGAGTCAAAAGCTGCACCAACAACTTTCCCATTGAGATCCAGTTCCCATAGAGATGATAAATCATGCTGTACCACAGTATCATCGTCCAAAAATATAATCTTGTTCAGATCTGGAAAGAGCTGTGAACCCATGAAATTATATGAGAAACAATAATTCATTGAATGTCCTTAATGAAGATCATCATTTTGTTGGTGAAAACAATGTTAAATTAAGTAATTACCTCGGGGATATAGATGCGCAGATGATTCAAAAGGGATGCACAGCTAGGCCGTAGATACTGCAAATCCTTTTCATTTTCATACTCATTTGCCAAAGTTTCCCTCTTCATGAGGTCAAATTTGTGGCCACAGATCAATCGATGGATCTCTATCATCTCCTTAATCCCGATATTCACCTTATGAGACCAATCATACTGATGCAATCCTCTTACTTCCAGGACAGCCGAATTAACTGAGTTCACGGCAAACCATGCATGCATTGCAGTGTATGTCTTCTTATCAGTAACTATATGAAATACCAATCTTTCTGGGATACTTGAGCTTTTGATGGTTGAGGAAACTACAACAGACGCAGCAAGTACGTTGTCTGTTAAAAGAACTACGTGATGGAAGGAAGGGTCAGTGAGGCGTGAAACATATTGAGGGGGAGGCAAGCGAGAACGTGCGGCAGCATTTTCAGCATATTCTTCAGCTAACTTGAGAGATAGGCAATGTATGCCCTTTGGTACACCGTGAGAAGCTAAATGCCAGAAAATAGACTCGCGTTGTCTAGCTGACTCTACCAATTGCTCCATCTTCACTATCTAAACAAAGGAAAGAAGCATACAACTTTTTCAAATATTTATAACAATACAATGGTGCTCCATTTAATTTGCTATGACCTACTCTATAATCGAGAAATTTTCAGCGAGTTAAAAGAAAAAAAGTCATGTCCACTTAAAAGTTAGTGAAGTGATTGTTATTTTCGAAATCTCACTTTGAAGTTCCATATAGAGACTCTTGAAATGTCAAAACCTGAGCAATCGAGTTGCTGACAAACATACCCTATTTGGTCATAAAGCTATGCTATGCTGGGAATTTTGGAGGAACAGGAACCCCCTCCCTCAGGTTGGTCTATTATAGTGTAGCTTTCCCTTGGTCTTGGGCTGTTAGGAATAAGTTTAGATACTGAAGTCTGAAGTGTCCGGAAAGAACAAGGTCCCAAGTACGTATTTTCAACTACAATGCAAGTAGAATGTGGAAACGAAGCTCAGGAAAGGCCAACAACGAGTTTCTAACATCCTAGAATGATTCAAATTGTTTTAGAGAAGAACCTAAATGAGATTCTGGTTTCGGTTGATACTAATTTCTTCTCTTTGATCTCCTCTATTAGTCCTATATATCAGTGGATATCGCTTCTCGCAAGGTATCAGAGTGAGGATCTGTTCATCAGAACTGACTCTATTCCTAGTTCAATATTCTTTAGCCATTACCAAAAACTGGCTCAGATAGCTTTGGGTCCAAACAGCCAAAAATCTTCTACAAGATGCTTATTCCTCCACTGGTAAAGAAAGATTTGGACTTCTCAGCATTTTAGACTCGGCTTCAGGATATAGAAGCAGGGTATGGTATGGTCGTTTGGTTCGCAACCAGGATATCTAATCCCGGGATTAAAACCAGGACTATAACCTTGAAAACTATCACACCTTCTATAATTGATAAGTTCTATTAATAGTTTTTGTATAAAAATAATACAGGTGTTAGGTAATACCTTCAACTAAACACATGATAAATTTAATTCCAAAATCTATCCCGGGATAACCCACCGAATCCTTTGAACCAAAAGGCCTAAATGAAAATTGATATTTTTTAGAAACTATGGCTCAGACTTTAGTGCCCAGTAATTTAATTGCTTAATGTAGATGCCTACTAAAGTTGTAACTACAGAACATTTGCAATCATAGGATTGTCTTAGCTCGTATTATTGGTAGGTAAAGAGAATACTTTTAAACAGAGGGCCAAGGCCAACAAGTGGATTGGGCCCATTACGCATTCCAAAACAAACACGCACCAATGCTTGAGTGATGGAGCATTGCAGGCAGTCTGATTATTCATGTGACAAAGTGGCCTACCTGTGCATTTTCTATTCAAGATTCTCCAACCAAAGAGGAACGGATAAAAGGATTGGAAAAAAAAAATTATTATCCAGCTACATAGAAACTAAAATACAACGTTAGGTATACAAGAATTATGGCTGCAGTTGATAAATAAAAAGAAATGACCCGCAAGAAAAGCGAACTAAATGTAAAGTGGAAAGCAGGAAGTAAAAGGTTGCTTGTTACCATAGCTTTAGTTTTGAAAGCGAAAGCTTTCATGTCTTGTCCACTAGAGGTCATGTCCTTCACAAGATCATTGAATGAGGATGGTAATGAAGTTGAACTCTCTATCCCTCCTTTTCCATTCTCACCATCACTTGTTGCCTCCAGCAATGCCAGCATCAACTCTTCTCTGAGCTTTTTCACCGTACGGTCAAAAGGAGGAAAATTAGCATCAGAAATAGTAACGACAAAAGTTGGGGAATCATGTTGATAAACACTCACTTAGACCAAACCACATTTTTAATGAAATTAAGTGACCAAAATTGATATAAAAATATGTACTTATTATTAACTATTGTTAAGTAATAATAATGGATATAAAGACAGTTATTACGTAGTTATTGGATTAATGTAAAGTTATTCTGTCAATGGGCAATAGCGATGTGAAAGGCCAACCAATCTCTTAAATAATTACGTCAAGTGGGGATTACTGAAAGTGATTTTTCTAAGAGCAATTTTGACTTGTACTGAAACAGTATCTCCTACTTTTTCTTAATTATTATTATTATACTATGCTCTAGCATTAAAGATCAAGTGGGACTAGAAAGTCAAGAATAAAAATGGAACAACATTACTTAGTCCTGGTCAGGATAATAGGTTAAAACATGAATCATGATGTGGCTTACTAGTGGCAAGATGTACAGAAACCAACAAGTGGATGTCAATTACCGACAATTCCTTTAAATCTGGTTATCCCTGGAACTAAATAGAAAATAATACTTGAGTTGAACTCTATCGGTTTTCCCGGCTAGCTAAAAATTATAGTAGGAATTATAGTATAGGAGTGAAACTAAGTTCAGTAGAGTCATGTTCCCTTGAAACAATTTTTTTCCTACACTTCTCCAGTGTCATCCCCTGCAATATTGAGAGACCTAAGTTAAGTAGTAAGGAATTGAAACTTTTTAAGTGTAGTTATAATGAAAAACAATGGCGACAATTTACTTTTTGATTATATTTTGTCAATATGGATGAGCAAAAAATTTATATTCCAAAATATGATAGTACTATTTTTCATGTGTACGCCCCCCTACCAGTGGCGGCGTCACCTTATGCCAAGGGGCCGCTGAAAAATTATTACTATTTAGCTAGATTAAAAATTTATTTTTATGTATACATGTTATATATTGACTCTCCTTATTCTATTTTTTTGTCTACCTTTTTATATTTTAAGATTCCTGGCTCCACTGTTGCTCCTACACTATCAAACATGTATGAATTTGGCATTTAGACCAAATAGAGTCGAGAAATCAAAATACTTTCACTTCGTAATGTTCTCCTATTTCCCCTTCCTTCCCTCACCCGATGTATATTTTTTATATAAAGAAAACACTTTCCAGCATGCAAACAATTTTAACTCAATAAAAAAGAAAACCAAGTTTATCCAAATTCTGAAGGTGCTCCCACGTGGACAATAATAAAACTAGCACGTGATACTGAAAAACTCCCAAAAAGATGAGGCAACCAAAAAATTCTTACATCTAATATTTCGAATATCTTAATCACCGCAAGGAAAATGACATTGAGTAGATTATATTTTAAATTATCAGAAAGAGGAAGATGATTTACCACAGCCGAGTCACTCCCGCCGAAAATCCTCCATCCCAAACAACCTATAATTCAAAACAATAGAAATAGAAAAGAATTAAAATTATTAACCAAAAAACGAAAAACACATTAAGAAGCAAAAGAAATATATTAAATACAATCGGAAAATAGTTTACCGATAGAGGAAGAGCAAAAAACGGCTGATTCGAGCATGATAAAGGTAATTCTGAAAAAGAGTAACGATAAAAGTAAACCGAGAACCAAAATAGCCGGCAATAATAACGTCCGGTAAGATATCCGGCGAATCCCCGGCGATGATCCCTTCCCTTTCATGCCAACCGGCAATCTTAAACCACCTCCGCCGCTCGTGACGGCGGCGGAACTCGATATTGTCAGTTTTTTAATTCCTGTCGCCGATATGTACAACTTCATCATCTAATCAATACAAAACTTCAGTTTCCGCTTCTTCTTCCATACAAAAAGTATCATCTCTTCTCATCTCCAGCTTCAGATCCGTTTCCTCAATTGATCCTTCATTACGCACTCATCCTCTGTTTCAGCCAATATACATCGATCGCAAGCACGCACATATACACAGAGAGAGAGTTAGAGACAGCGAATATCACGGACACAATCACAGCTATCGAGAAATTTCAAGTAATTATTCAAAACAGTGAATGATCCAAAAGCCACAAAAACTACGAGCGTCAGTCCAAAAATAGTCAAAATCAATATGTTACAGTTTCAATCTAATATCCAACAGTCAATCGTTTCTCTTTCTATGTAATAACCGAAAAAGCATTGGAAGAGAAACTTTACCTAGCACAGAATCTGGTTGCTCATTGATCTTCAGCAGCTTAATAATGAAAATAGAAGGTGGTGATCACACTCTTTGGGCAGTGTAAAGAAGACGCAGATGTTTCATAGGGCGGGGTGGGGGGGTGGGGACAGAAAGAGTGCCAAAGCCGAAAAGCCAAAACTGATAGCCGCGTTAAATGCTGAGAGAGAAATTAGATGATAGATTTGGACTACACAGTCCTACATCTACAACAATTTTTCTACGTACACGGGATAAATTATTTTAATTCCTCTTTTACCCTTTATATTTTCTCTTAGTTTACGATTTTGCCCTTTTACATCACCGACACATGGGGACGTTATAATTTTTCTCCTTCCTCCACCATTTGTCGACAAATAACCCAATGTACGAACTTTTCTTCCAAGCAACAGTAATCGAATCAATCAGATTTTGCCACGTGTTCAGATGGATCCCTGAATGAATACGAGAGGAATGAGGATAGTGTAACTAGTAATTTAACTGATTAATGGAGCAGACCTGTCATTAATATTTGCTTAAAGAGGGAAAAATACCGTATGAAATCCCAATTCCCTATAACAAATCGAAATCTGAGAATTTTCAGCTCATGTGCTGTTTTCATCTGACTTCTGTATTCTGCAAAGGAACACAAGTTCGTGATCCTTGTGTGGATTGACCGACCAAAGATATTTTAAGGTTGTATTTCAACCTTAGAAATGTTCAGTATGAGACATTGGGTGTGCTGCGATTCTTTTGCCACTTTCAAACACTTTTCTAATTCGTAGGGGTCGTTTGGTTTAGAAGCAAATTATGAAAGAATTAGTATTATCCTAGATTTCTACTCAAATTATTTATCAATTAAGAAGTTCAAGAGTAAATTAACTATTTTTTCCTAGTCTACCCTTAATTTCAATTGTTCTTAAAGACTATAAATACCTTAATTATTGTCACACCTACTTTTTCCTGAGGGATAGGGGAGTTTTTCCAACTAAAGTGACATTAAATGAAATGGGATTAGTTATTTAATTCAGAGTCGCCACTTGGGATAATTTTATGCTGCCCCAAGTCACCTGTATTTTAAAACCCCAAATCGAAGAAATTTGATTCTGTCTAAAGTCTGCAAAACCAGAAGACCGGGTAAGGAATTCTGTTAACCCATGAGAAGGTGTTAGGCATTCCCGAATTCCGTGGTTTTAATACGGTCACTTTGATCATACCTTAAATTGTTTAAATCCTTATTTTAGAACCTATGTACGTTTACCTTTTTACCGCTTTTAATTATGGCGTTTATGGATTTATCTTTGAAACGGATTACATGTGTGTAAATCCGCTTTATTTGGGACGTTAAAATTATGCCACGCGTACGTGTACATAATTTATCACGCTTTATTAATTATTAAGATTGTTCGGCCAAAGTCGCGCGAACGCGTACTTTGATTTATTTTTAGAAATCGTAATTATGTCGCGCAAACGTGTACATAATCACGACAATGAATTAAAGAACGCGCATAAAGCATTATACGGATATTTATGATTTGTTTCCTTTTCCTAAATTTGAGACGACTGTAAAAGGGCATCGATTATGGAAAAGAGAAATGCTTTATGTGGGATCTAAAGCAATACCAAAACATAGATTCATTCTATGGTTAGCAGTACATAGAAAATTGGCTACAATTGATCGACTAGGGAGATGGGGAGTAACAGTAGCAAATGAATGTGTATTATGCGCAACAAAAGATGAGGAGTCAATGGAGTATATATGGTTTGGATGTGAGTATGCCAGAACAATATGGGCTCTACTGTTACAATGGCTGAATGAAAAACATCAGATTGGTAGCTGGGAAGAGGAGATTGAATGGTTGAAAAGAAGAACTGCCAGCAAAGCTCGAGGTGAAATATTGATATTCCTATTCACAACAATGGTGTACCATGTCTGGGCAGAGAGAAACAAAAGAAGATTTCAAGGGAAAACAGTTGCTTGCAATCAGAGGATCAAAGATATTGCAATGGAGCTGCATATCACAGGGCAAAGTGAAGCAAAGTGGCACAAAGAGCTGGAATGATTGAAGAATTTTCCTAGTCAATATAGTTCAATGTAATTGTTATAGGAAGTATGTTAACTGATTAGTCAGAGAGTTCTATTAGATAGGTCTAGTTCTGGAGTCCAAAAGAACTAGAGGATGTAAATATTTTTACTTGGTTAAATAAAAGTTTAAAAGTTTGACAAAAAAAACTATTATGAACAGTTGTGGGATTAAGTACGTTCAATTCGATTAAACTGCTCATATTCGTTTAAAGCATTGAACAGGCATCATGCATCAACTTTCAAATACAGCCACAATGAACTTAAAATAGAGGAATACATGTTTAAATTAGAATTGAATTTAAATACCCGGCTTATTCTATAATCAACTATAACAATATGACCGCTTTACACCATTTACGCTAAATACCAGATCTCGAGCATTTCACTGATTCAAAAGTCATACCTTATCTGTAAATGGGTTCTAGTGATTCCACGAGCATTTTATTTCTTATGCTAAAACTAGGTCAAAGTTAATAAGCCAAACAATTATAATAATAAAATAAAATAAAAACAAAATTCAGAGAACCCCTGCCAAGCCCTGCGACGTGCCATGTCCATCCATGGCAACACCCTGTCATGCCCTGCTGCCATGCCCTGCGTCCTGCCATGGCCACTCCTTGCCACGCCCTGCGTCGTGCCATGGCCACGCCCTGCCATGCCTGGCGACGCCCTGCGCCGTGCCATGGCCACACCCTGCCATGCCCTGCGACGCCCTGACTCGTGCCATGTCCACGCGCTACCATGCCCTATGACGCCCTGCCATGCCCTGCGACGCCCTAACTCGTGCCATGGGCACGCCCTGCGCCGTGCCATGGCCATGCCCTTCCATGCCCTGCCACGCCCTGCGCCGTGCCATGGCCACGCCCTGCCATACCCTGTGACGCCCTGACTCGTGCCATGGCCACGCCTTGCCATGCCCTGCAACGCCCTGTGTCGTGTCATGGCTACGCCCTGCCATGCACTACGATGCCCTAACTCGTACCATGGCCACGCCCGGCGACGCCTGCGTCGTGCCATGGCCACGCCCTGCGATGCCCTGACTCATGCCATGGCCACGCCCTGCCATACGCTACGACGCCCTACGTCGTGCCATGGCCACGCCCTGCCATGCCCTCCGACACCCTGCATCGTGCCATGTCCACACCCTGCCATGTCCTGCGATGCTCTGACTCGTGCCATGGCCACGCCGACGACACCCTGCGCCGTTCCATGGCCACGCCTTGCAATGCCCTGCAACGCCCTGAGCCGTGCCATGGCCATGCCCTGCCATGCCCTACGACGCCTTGACTCACGCCACGGCTATGCCTTGTCATGCCCTGCGACACCCTACGTCATGCTATGGCCACGCCCTGCCATGCCCTGCTGATAACTAGGGATTCTAGTTCATTTTACACTCCTTTTCACTTGAGTTTTGAGTACAAATGTATACAAAATAGTCCCAAAGGCTTACATGTCGTACTAGTTTGCAGGGTTTGATAAAAAAGGCGACAACTAGTCAAAATCAGCTCAAAAGGAGTGAAACATGCACAAGTACAAGGACAAGTCCAAGCACAGTTGAAACAAGACCCACTGCGGACCGCACAAAATGGGGTGCGGCCGTAGTGAGGAGATTCAGAGAGTGCTGATTCCGAAAACCCAAGCAGTGCGGCTGCGAAGCATTTTGTGCGGACCGCACTAGACTCACCGCGGCCGCACACGATATTGTGCGGTCCGCAAAGAATGAGTTCAGAGAGTTGAAGATTTGGAGCTAATTTCCAATGCGGTCCGCGGTCCTTTTTATGCGGACTGCAACAGAAGCCACCGCAGTCGCAGTGCATTTTATGCGGCCCGCGGTGGCCAAGTTCAGAGAGCAGAGTTTAAAGCCAAGAAGCCTCACTGCGGCCGCACTCGATTTTGTGCGGACGGCACTACCTCATCGGGGGTATTTTTGTCCAGAAAATTTGGGCTAGTATAAATACTTTCTTTTCAAATTTTTACGTTATCTTTTGTAATCTGAGTTGGGGCTGAGCACGTGAACGACTCTTTTAATCCTTTTTGAGTAATTTTGGGCTACTATTACACTGAATCTCTATTATTTTAGTTTGTAATTAATTATTATGGTTATTTCTTCATCTAATTTCTTGTTTTCTTTCCTAATTATGAGTAGCTAGACCCACTAGCTAGGGTTGTGGCTCAGCCCCTAGTTTGGGTATTTGATGGGTCTTGAGTTTTAAGGCTTGAATGTGTATGGGTGTTTGATATTTAGACCAACTTATGTTTTTCATGTTGAATTAGTGGTTGCAAACACTAATTTGTGCCTTTGTGACTTGGGTTCTTCTTGAGAAAGAGAACTTGAGTCTAGGAAAATTGGTCCAACAAGGAATTGGGGCGTATTCAAGAGATTGATAGCCCCAATTAAAGGGTTAAACCTAGAGATAGTAATACCCGACTTGAACCTCAATTGCTTGCTCAATTGGTCTTGAGAAAGTCAATTTGCGCAAAATCACTCAAACTACCGAGAGGTATAGAGTGAGAACTTTTGTGCATTGGTTATATTGTAATCCCCATCATAACATCCTTGCCTTAGACTTGAGAATCCGTCAAATATCCACCTACGAGCGGGTCACTTCCCTAGTGCCTCTTTAACCTATTAGAAACCCCTTAGAAATTACTTTTAGCTTAATTTAGCATCTTATTAGTATAATATTAGAAGTAATCAAAAAGACCAACTATGATTGGAAGTGCAATTAAGAGTAGTGCACATTGCTAGTTTGGATAGGAAACCAACTCCAACTTCTACCTCCCTGTGGATTCGATCCCGACCTATTCAGATAAAAGCTGCATCGACGTGCTCTCGCCACTCTATTGTGGTGTAGGGTTGGCTCCGATCAACTTTTTAGCGTCGTTGCTGGGGAGCTAACGGTTTTGGCTATCTATCTAAATAGTTTTGTGTATTGCTTTTCTTTCCTTCTGTGTTACTAATCATTGTTTGACGCCAATTCAGGTACAAAATGGAGGCAAACAACAACAATGACCCTCTTGGAAATGTGATCCCGGGGGAGGAGGTTGATGATATCGGCGAGGATGGGGTGCCTCTTGCCTCTAGGACAACGGAGAGGCCGCCAGGCCAATGCTAATGCCAATGATA